GCCGCCGCCGAGCCGTGCGGTGCCGCCGGCCGTGCCCGGGCCGGCTGCGCGCAGTAGAGGAGAGAGAGGTGAGAGAGTGAGAGAGAGGGGATAGAAAGGATAAGGATGGGGATGGGTGGATGAGATGAAATTTTGAAGTCTTGAGGAGGGAAAGGAGGAGGAAGGATAGACTTTTGTAGGTACTTTTACGAGGCTTGCACGCGAAAATCGGCTCATTTTTGCGTGCCGACCCTTAAGAGGCCCGCATGTGAAAATCAATTTTCGCGTATGGGCCTCTTAAGGGTCCGCACGTGAAAATGGGAGGCCAATTTTTGCATGCAGACGTGAAAACGGTCCGTCTATAAACTAAATAGCTCCTCGTCCAGGAAAATTATTTCTCTACTAGTGATGGTGACACACAACTAGCATGCGGGAGAAGACTTTGGTTGTCTGCCAGAAACTCGGCCAGGGGTGGAGTTTTCATCAATCTCCCGGCTGGTAGCCAGGGGGGGCAAGCATCGGCAGCCAGCGCTCCCCCAGGTATTCCATACCAACTCGAGGATTTCCCATGAGTCACACACACTGCTTATCAATCTAAAATCACATGGACAGACTGGGCCGCAGGGTAGTGTTCGTCCTAGAGCAGCATTATTAGAGTTATTTTTATAGCAAACAACTAGATTAACCAGTTGTGTTTAAAAACTGCTTTTTCAACAACATTTACGGCCCCGGGGGGCATGGATAGCGATGGAGCGAAGAATGTGAATGTATCGCAGCTGGGGAAGCGCCCGGAACGAAGAGCAATGAGCGAAGGCAGCGTAACGGGCTCCATGGCCCGCTCAGGCCGAGCGGGGGGGGGGGGGGGTCGCACTCCTGCAGTGGCGGAGCTGGAACTAAATTGAGGGTGGTGCACTACTTAACCATATAAATGCCAACAATTACTCTAAATAATGGTAACTTTTTCATTTATAGATAACAATTGACACCAAATCATAGAGTAGCAAGTAAAAATGCTTACCGAAATATAAGACAAAAAGAAAAGGCGAAGGGGAACATCAAAAGATACATAAAAGACGATCAATCTATGCAAAATACATCCTCGGCACTGCCAATGTCAATATCATTGATAGTTAATAGCGTACAATAAAAGAAAAACAGAAGTCAGAAACATCTTAATTTCCATCTAAAAATTTATATCCAATGAATGTATAAAAACATAAAAATAAATGTGTTACCTTTTAGTATACTCGTTTTCTCATCTTCATGAAAACGGTCAACTACGGCTTTATTGGTAACTTTCTCATTTCTTCTTTCTCCACATAGCGTATAAGACTATGACTTAAGTAGTCATCACTCATACGATTGCGCAATTCTGATTTCACAATCTTCATGGCTGAAAAACATCTCTCAACTGTCGCAGTGGCAACGGGCAATACTAATACTAGCTTCAAAAGACAGTACACCAAAGGATAGCAAATATGTTTTCTTGTCTCCACCATTTTTTGAGAAAGGTCACCAATTGTTTCTATGTGGGAAAATCTATCATTTTCTCGCACATCGGCGATGTAGAGACTAAGATGATGACTAAGATCTCTCAATTCTGCAGAACTGAAATCATTGGGATAAAGTTTGGCCAGGCTCATCAAACTCTCCACTTTAAAATCACGAAATGATTCTCTTGGATTAAAAGCTGCCGAGCAAACAAGCAATTCAGATGTTGTCTCATTAAAGCGTTGTCTAGCTCTTGAAGTAACCAATCAATAACATTATTAAAACAATCCACTTCATAATGATGCTTGTTTGTAATTCCTGTTTTTTGCCTTGGCTTCTTTGGATTAATGTATACTTCTCCCATTTCTAGTTTGGTAAGATCATATTTGTCACAGAAGTTATACACATCACTCTCTAATTTTTCCCATCCATGTCTTCTAAGGTCATCCAAATGACCTCTTATAGATCTCACACATTTAATTGCATTCACAATATCTTGATCCTTCTGTTGTAGTGCTAATGACAAGGTGTTTGTAATTATTAGGACAGTCAACATGAGATGCAAATAAAAGACAAAGTCAAAATACTAGAAGTACACTAAAAGACCCGCCACTTGATCTCTGTTTGCTCTATCCCTATCATCCTCTTCCACAAATTCTAGCACTTCAACAATTGTTGGGAACATATCTACCAAACTTTTGAGAGTTTTGTAATGAGAACTCCAACGAGTATCTCCTGGCCCTTGAAGAGATTGCTCTTGGTTCAACCCTTTTCCACTTTGAAGTAGCCCACAACCTAATGCCTTGCTCACATGCTCACTATGGATGTCTCTAATCATGTCCCTTCTCTTAGCTGAACCACCAACCACATTTAACAAGGTAGAAATCATACTAAAGAAATTACTTACTCCTTTGTGCTTTCTCACAACAGCCACAACTACTAACTGAAGTTGGTGGGCGAAGCAATGGACATAATAAGCTGAAGTACTCTCTCTCATGATCAATGATTGTAACCCATTATATTCACCTCGCATATTACTAGCCCCATCATATCCTTGGCCTCTAACTTGACTCAAGCTTAGATTAAAATCTACCATTAGAGTATCAATAGAAGCCTTGAGGTATGAGGCTGTTGTTTCCTTCACATGAACAACACCAACAAACCTTTCTTTCACAATTCCACATTTATCAACGTACCTCAACACCACGGGCATTTTCTCTTCGCAAGAAATATCTCTTGACTCATCAATTAGCAAGCAAAACACATCATGGCCAAGTTCATTCAAAATGGAATGTAATATTTCTTTGGCAAAGCATTCAACAATATCCTTTTGAATGTCAGGAGCTATCATAAGACAATTCTTCGATACATTTTTCCCCACTACCTTGCCTAAAGCAACATCATGCTCTGCTAAGAAATCACAAAACTCCAAGAAATTACCTTTGTTGTATGAATCACTTGATTCATCATGGCCCCAAAAAGGCAAACCTAGATTTAACAACCTCCTAGCAACATTAATTTATCCATTTAATCGAACAAAATATGCATTTTTAGCAGCTTCACTTTGCACTTGCATATGGACATCAATGTGTTGGGCTCTTTGAAACAAAGCATCACAAGTTTTCATGGCTTGATTATGTAAGCTACCGACACCACCAACATGCTCTTTTAGCCTACATTTTCTATGCCAACCATTCCAACCATCAACCACAAAGGCTTTATAGGATTGGTTGTGGGTCCCAGTGTAATACTTTTATTTTTAATCAAACACTCAATGACACGTGGGTCATGTACTTTTTATTTTAATTTTTAGTTTTTATATTTTGTTTCCAGTGCCACATCATCGCCACGTAGGACGATGACCACGTCAGCCAAAACCGTCATCCAAACTACCTTGGGATTTTATTTGCACTGGTTTTGATAATTGAGGGACCCGTTATATCTGGTATTGCGGTTCAGGGATGAAAATAGATTCAGTGTCAAGTTAAGGGACCTCAAATGAACTTATTCCTTTACCCATGCAACCGCAAATTTTTGTCCATCTTTTGACTCCATGGCGTAAGACGGCACCTTGGGCTTTGCTGACCAACCTAGGGCACACAGGCACACAGGCACACCAGCACACATTTGCAATGTTTATCCACATCGGAATTTACGAATCACTAACATGGGTCCTCAGTTTTTCTGGTGAGGGCACATTTTCACCTGAACAACTTGTTTACATAATTATCTTACTTAATCCATGATAGAGTCATTTTACGGCTCTGTTCGAATAGAGCACATCAGTTCAAATGGATTGCAAATCCAGATTTTAGGTTAGAAGTTACATGCTATGTACAAGTACAAAATTGCCCACGTATTAAGAGTAGACCACTAACTAATCACCATATTTATGCAAATATATATTCTTTTCTATTGCGATGGATCAGTCCAAGCCACGAACCATAATGGTTCATTTTGAATGTGCTTGTGTTGTGTGGGGTTTCAGGTTCAAAGGTTGTTCAATATTCATTTCGTTCAATTTTGACCCTCTGTTTACGGACTTCTTGTTCACACAAATAAGATTTGATGACACTGGGTTTAATTTCTATTTCAAAGAGTGCTGTCCTGACATTAGAGGCAACTATTTGAGTATCATCTAGTTATTTAATACTCCCTCCGTTTTACAATATAAGACTTTCTAGCATTGTCCATATTCATATAGATCCTAATGAATCTATATGATAATGTCTAGATTCATTAGCATCTATATGAATGTGGGCAATGCTAGAAAGTCTTACATTGTGAAACGGAGGAAGTAGAAAGCAACTTATCTTTTTTTAGTTGTGCCGGATGAGCTTCATGACTCGTCATTTGCCATTTTGCCTACTATACAATCATTTAGATTTCCTTTAGGTAGCAAGCTGATAGTTGCGAGATCAGTTAGCAAGCTAATATTCAGGAGGCGTAACATACTTTTTTCCCCCATAATTATGCTTTCTCTTATTCAACGAAAACGTAGCTACCTCTTGCAATTGGATCATAAAAAAATGTATGTTACCCAGTCTCCCATTGATTTTTGGTTGATCTCTTAGTTAACAAACTGGGAGACTGGGTCAAGAGGGAACATGGCCACCCAATGTTTAAATCACACATCTTACTAAATGTTGCGCCATGATCAGTGACGGTTTTCCACCAATGCTAGACAAAATGAGAGAAACCCCTGCATGCATGTGAGATGGCAATCTCTTGTGCACTGAACTCCCAAAAAGATCTTGATACATATAAAGGCATTGGGAGGGACCCGAACGGCCAATTCCAGAGCCATTGCAAGAAGGATCCACAACCATTTTCCGTCGACGCCTCCAGTATTGAGCCAGTGGCTTGCCGGATTCATGACTCATCTACTCCAACACCAAGGATGAGATCAGCTTCCCTAAAGTGGTGGTACTATATACTTCTTTAAGATTCAACTAGTTATTTTCACTAAATTCCATATTAGATCAAAGAATTAAGTGACAATCTTTAGGCTATGGCAGTTAGATCCTGAGTTTAGAAACTCTCACTGATAAAAAAAATAAATTTCACAAGGCAGCATATATATAAAAGTGGCAATATACACAAGTTGTTTTAAGCTTCCAGATCAGCATACTAAATTTTACGATCGACACCCAACCAAGAGAAACTAGATCAATGCGGCCTGATTAGTAATAGCATGTAGTCTGCAAGCACGCTTTCACAACTATCACCTCTAACTTCATGTTGCGAGATCTGAAGGAAGAGAAGAACTGAAGACCCTGTCCTTCGCATTAGCCGCCTGTAAATACAAAATTATGAATACACTTCACTCTCGAACTTAAAATAGCAGCAACATAATATTGGCTAGCTAGGGAAAAAAGTGCATGTATGCACCTCTTTATCCCAATTTGTGCATAGTGTTATTGCCATTAGTAGCAGGACTTGCACCAAGAGGCCGCAGATGATGCCTAGCCATAGACCCTATAAGACATTCAGCATTGTTGAAACTCATAACATCAACCAAAAACAACTTGCAACAAGGAACTTGATGAAAATTCAGGCAAACAAAAGATCTTGAGGGTTCTTCAGTAAGCACCATTCCGCCGACATGTAAGACAAAAGCTATGAGGTAAGCTGAAGGGATGCCAACGATATAGTAGGCGCCAAGGTTTACACAAGCTCCAATTTTTTGCCATCCACACCCTCTAGCCACACCTGCACAAATATGTAAATTTCACGAACGGAAAATTATTACTCCGACAGGTCATAAATATTTGGTGTACATGTTTAGGATAAGAATCGGTCAAACTTTTAAAACTTTGATGATCAATTTTCAGAACTTCATAAAATGTTATGTGATAATCATGACTTGTAAACCGTATATTGAATTTTCTATCCTTCTACATCATTGTAGTTCTATTATGATTAAATTAATAGTCAAGACAAATATTAGCTATATTTTGACTAGTAAAAACAATAAAACTATTGCAAAGAAAACTTACAATGAAGACTATATCATCAAATATCAATTCAGAGAATATGCTTAATTAAATTTGATCTACAACACTGAAAAATAACAACTCAAATTGTGAGTAACATTCTGAAAAAAAATATTTTCTATGTTGTTTTCAGACATATGTTGACCTTTTGCATGCCATCCCAACAATATTAAATAAATTATGAAAATAATTACTAATGTAGATTATATATCATCATATACCACTTCATTAATACACATAATTAATTTAGATCAACAATGTCACAAAATTGAAAAAAAAACTCTAATTGCGAGTGATTCTAATGAGGACATATCCGGTGAAAATTAGCTAAGTGTTGAAAACTCGTGAAAATCATACCTAAAAGTTTCGTAAATTTATGAAAAAATACTAGAGATAGGTTTAGATATAAAATACATTCTCACCAAATCTCAACTCCAAACTCAAGTTCGTTTATGAGAAACAAAAAAGACAAATTTCAGGTGAATAGTGTCATGTTACTATTCACCTGAAATTTGTCTTTTTTGTTACTCCTAAACGAAGTTGAGTTTGAACTTGAGATTTGGTGAGAATGTATTTCATATCTACACCTATCTCTAGTATTTTTTCATGAATTTACAAAACTTTTAGGTATGATTTTCACGAGTTTTCAACACTTAGCTCATTTTCACCGGATATGTCCCCGATTCTAATTCTAACATATATAGTGATAATTTCAATGCAATTATATCTAGAATATTTAAAGTGAATACATTATCATAAAAAAAGATTAAATGTGATCTTTGCATACAGTATTTATGTTCTGAAGGATAGATTAAACAAGAGTAGAGGGCATATATGTCAATCTTTTCCTTTTCAATCTTGGAGTTTAAACTTAAGTTGCTTTTAGTATATCAGCTGATCCAAATGTATTCAGCCCTTATAGGGCTAACTATATATATATCAATATGTCACACTCAACCCCTATGTATTAGCTCCAACTTACAAACCCCAATCCACCAAACGTCGGTTCACAAATATTAACGAGGTGTCTATACAACACATTGCTATCTAAAGTGCAATGAGCATGTATGCCATCAAGGTAAAGAGCCAGGGTAATTGGCAATATATATTATATCATCCTCTATCGCTTCATAAGCATATACTGCTTTTGTCTGTCCATGACTTACGCATAATTTCTTATATTATGGGACGGAGGGAGTAAAACATATATAAATCTACAATGTTACAAAATAAAATAAAAAGCCATCTAGTCATGACTCACTTTAAATGTAAGAAAAATAAATTTTAAACTATAGAAGGCTCAATAACACAAAGGTAACGTCCATAACCCCCCCCCCCCCCCCCTAAGTCCTAGTTTTCATATACTTTGTGCTAACGTGCCGTTTCAATCAGTAAAAGAGGAAATTTATGTATAATAAATATATTCTGAAACCCTCCTACGCCGTCTATTAAAGCCTATTATAAATCAGAGAATATCTTAAATAGAATTCTTGGAGAGAAAGCAAAACACTCTACACATGATTCATCGCTAATCAGCTTGGCTATTGTGAGGACGAACTTGTGTAACTTAGTATCCAGCCAGGAAGGAGAAATAATCAGGTGTACCTGAAAGGACACACTGTATCCCGTCGAAGAAGTTGGAGACTGCGATGACCAGCATCATCTTGGCCACGTATGTGACAACCTCCTCCTCGTCGCTGTAAGCATGGCCCCAGATGTAGCGCACGCCAACCAGCACCAACCCTATCACCAATCCCTCCGAGACGGCCATGAACACGACGACCCGGACGGCGAGGCGGGCCGCGCGGGGCCGGCCCGCTCCGAGCTCGTTGGAGACACGGGTGCTGCATCATGCAAGATCATGATGGATAATACAGGCACTGATGACGATGATGATGATGAGCAATGTTGACTGCAATGCAGTGTAAGCTAGGAGGATGAATGCTACGTATACCTTATGGCAGAACCGAGGCCAAAGGGGATCATCCAAACGAAAGCAGCAGTGTTGAGGCTGTCAAAATTGCAACCGAATATGTTTCAGACTGTTTTTTTTTCTGTCTCTATTTGGCATGGCACAAAAACATTTCAGTCGAAATGTGTGGTGATCAATTTCTGTTTAGTATTACCTGATTGATAGCACGGACGTCTCTAGCTTCGGGTTGGGAAGAATACCTGAAAGAAGCACAATGAGCTCAAACGACCACATCTCCAAGCTGCAATGCCAGAGCAGAATGTCATCACCACACGAGTATCTTCGATCGAGTTGCACAACATAAAAAAAGGCTCGAAATTTTCAAAAAAAAAAGAGAAGGATTTAAACTTTCAGAGAAGTATCAAATTCTCAACAGATCGAGGAAGAGTGTGAACTGAGTCGATCGATCACTGACCAGACCATGAGAGCGGAAGGGATGGCGAGCCTGAAGAAGCTGAGCGGGTCATGGAAGGCTTCCATGGAGAACCCCGTCCATGTCTTCTTGCAAGAGCTCGACACCCTCACGTACACCGCCAGGATGGCGACATTGATCCAGTACGACACGGCGTTGCTCAGCGCCGCGCCCTTGCTGCCCATCCCGGCGGCGTAGACGAGCGCCCAGCACACGACCAGGTGGCACAGCGCCGCCGCGCCGGCGCTCGCCATCACCGGGAGCACCACGTTCTGCGTCTGCAGGAACCGGACGTGGCACTGCAGCGGGCCGTAGGCGAACAGCGCCGGGATCATCCACCGGGCGTACGCGCCGGCCTCCGCGGCGATGTCGGCGTCCTGCCCGAACGCGACGAGGATGTCGCCGGTGTAGAACCAGACGACGACGAGCGGGACGCTGACGGCGGTGAGCAGCAGCATGGCGCGCTGCTTGTAGACGCCCAGGAGATGATACTGCCGGGAGCCGAACGCCTGGCCGCACAGGGTGTCCAGTGCGCTTGCCATTCCTAGCTGATCATGAAGCCCAGTGGAATTTATTCAATTTCAAAATGGTTAAGCTTGTTTCGAAACAATGTATATGTTGTATTTTTGCTTTTGACAGAATTGATGCATGTATTCGCGGTATGTACGTAGAAGGGGAAAAGGTGTTCATTCGAAATATCATGATTTGAACAGGAAGAGTCTTGGACAGAGAAAATATGTGAGACGAGTGTTTGTTCAGGGAAAAAAAGGGAAAAATTGAACTCAAAATTGCGACACGGATTTGCTTGTATAGCAACTATACCAATCTTTGAATTATAGTTCTACCCTATAAATTTATAAGTGAATTCATCACCATCCAAAATTCTTATTACCTAGGCCTTAGGACTCAAGATACTGCATCTGTGACGGGCCTTTTTCGGCCCGGTAAAGATGAGACCTTTGTAATAGGCCGTACGTCTCCATCACAGATGCACCGACTGAGATGCCCGGTTCTTTACTAGCGCCTCTAGGAATTATATCAGCGCAAAGATATAATATGCAATGTCTTCGGTATGATATTCACAAATTTATAGCAGTTGTTAAAGATATGGCGCCATCTATTTTACTTGATTAATTTCACAGTTTTTTTCTATGTGATTGTGTAAGTATTTTTAATAACTCTCCTATCTCTTCTTCTATGTAAATAAAAAATTACTTTTAGTCCTAATTTTCTTATACAATATGTATTATAAAATTACAATATAATTATTAAAAATTATAGTATAAATGTAAGTAATTTACAGTGTAAAAATTTGACTATTTCTTATAGAAAATATGGCATCATATATAGTGCCTTCTAGTAACCTAGGGGGAAATGATCCCATCGTTTTGTAATATAATTTGTTGGTCAAAGGCAAAATGTTGTCATGAGCACTATATATATCAGGATAAATATTTGTAAATTGTTTTTTTAGAACAATATTTGTAAATTGTTGGCAAAGTTTCAACCTGCCGTGCTCTATTTAATTTTCCTAAAATATATCAGCAGAGCGCAGCAGGTATAAAATTCCTTCGGTAAGACCATGCAACCTCAAACTTAATTGCCATATGCTTGCTATATTAGTATTTTTTTTTTTAGATTTGGAACAATCATGGAGCCTACTGGTAATACGTTCAGAAAGGTTCTAAGCAGGAAAACATGCAGATGACAACTGGATGATTTAACATTGGACTACCATTGATCTTTCTCCTCTCTTCAGTGAAAAGTCCTCTCTACGGTCAAAAGGAGCGAAAAATGCTGAACAAAATATATAATATACTCAGAGGTGGGGCCTCGAAATCATAGCTAGACAGCACCACTTTCACAAAGAAATACTAATTAAATTTTCCCCTTGGAAGAAGACTAGTTGTACACTGAAATTAAAAGTAGTTCTCCTGTCAATATTATAATTAGAGCAAACGATTTTATAGTGACACGTACTGATCAATATAGAGTGGTTGATCACTTGATCTTCCCAATCATAGAACTGTGGGGAGAAATGTCGATCGATCCCTCTACCAACAAAGGGGACGAATTATATTGATCCAGATATATATGAACCAAAATAGACTGGAGATATAACTTCTAGTGCGTTTCGTTTTCTCTTCAACTTATTAACTGCAGTTAAAATTTAAATTTTAAATCATAATTTTATAACTTATTTTGATGTTGTTTTTCGTTGTAGTGAACTTTTAAGTTGCTAATAACCACATATATAATGTACCTATGAATTAATATATTTCATTAATAAGATTATATATGTTTTATAATCAGCTATAGGCTAAATGATGGACTAAAACGATATTCATGTTTATCATAATTTGGCTAAAACGATGTTGATCATAATTTGCTACAGCTAGCGACATATATAGATGAATTGCGTTAGCTAGGTTCAAATTTGTCTTAAGTGTAATTATTTCTTCATTTGCTTCTTATCATCTCAACCAATCACAACCACCTCTCATTTAATTTATCCACATATTTTTCTTTTTTCAATCAATTAGAACTTTTCGTCATTCAATTTCACGTACCTCATTAATTCACGCCAAAGTCTCCAGAAATGTTTACGGCCGAGGAAGTAGAGTACTAGTTTCTACTAGTAATTATATGAGCAAAATGATGATGAATGAGTAATTAAAAACCGTATTAATACCAGGAGGCTGAGGCCGGTGACGGAGGCGAAGGAGCTGGCCATGGAGGCGCCGGCGAGGGGGAGCTCGCCGAGGTGGCCGACGAACATCACGGAGATCATCTGGATGACGTTCTGCAGCAGCGCGCCGGCGACGAGCGGGACGGCCAGCCACAGCTGCTTCTTCACCTCCTCCCGCACCACCGCTGCAGCTGGCGCCAACTCATCCGACTCCACCAGCTGATGATCACCTCCGACGCCGGCGAGGAGGGCCTCCTCCTCCGGGCTCCCCTTCGCCGCCATGTCGGTCAAACGATCGATCGCCGGCGACACGTACCTCCTCTTGTCAGCTAGCTACTCCAGCTCGATCGATCACTGATTAAGCGTAAGTAGTTACGTGTGTGTTTTTGTGTGGAGAGAATTGAGTTGTGAATTTGTGATCAGTAGGCGGCGGCAGGGGTGGGGTGGGGTGGGGGTGGCACCGTGGTAGGGAGCTTTGCATGTACTAGTGGTTCCAACTTCCAAGCAGATATGGCTAATTTCATGTGTTTGCCTGGCGCTGCACGGCGAGGAATTTTGCGTACTCCGATCGCTGTTGCATCTGGGTCGTCGTCGTCGTCGTCCACCGATTGGCCGCGTGCATCGATCGGCTGTGGCCTCAAGCGGTGATGTTTATGGGCGCAGAGCGAAATGGCCGTGAGGATGGGGAATGGGATTGGGCCTGGTGTTGAGCGGTGCCACTTCCAGGATGGGCTGTCCAACATCCATCAGATCAGGAATAAGTTCATTTCAGGTGCCTTAACTTTACACCGAATCCGATTTTCATCCTTGAACCAAAAACCAGATACAACTGGTTCCCAAACTGTCAAAACCGGTGTAAACGAGATCCCCCAACGGTTTGAAAAGTAATTTTGGCTGACGTGGCGTCTACGTGGTTGGTTTGACTAGGTACTCGTCGCACGTGGCATTGACGTGGTGCTTACGTGGCAATTTGTTACCTGAAAAAAATAAAAAATGTGGACCCCCATGTCAGCTGCACACAAAATAATAACAAAATAGTGGGGCCCACGTGCGTCGTGTGGGGACGCGTAGAGGCGGCTGCCACCCCACCTGCCACCGCACGCCATGAGCAAAGGCGGCAGAGGGAGCCCGTCCGCGGTGAGGCCGCCGGCGATCTCCCCTCATCTTCTTCCTCCTCTATCTCTCCCCATCTCCCCTCTCTTCATCTCTCTCCCCACTCCTCTCTCTCTTCTCCTCGATGGCGAGGACGCCCAGCGGAAGGGGTGAAGGAGTGAAGGAGCGACACGGCGAGGTCAGTGGGGTCGATGGCGAGCGTCCACCCGTGCGGGGATGCGTAGAGGCGCCGTTGCCCCACCTGCCGTCGCGTGCCATGAGGAGCGGAACCGACAGAGGGAGCTCGACGAGGCCGCCGGCGATCTTGGAGAGGAGCTCCAGCAGCAGATCGGACTAGTCCGCGGCGGCCGTGGCGACGACGAACCTGGTTCAGAATGGCGTCCGCAGACCTCCTCTATCACCGGCTCGCTGGGGATTGGAGGGCCCATCGACTCCCGGTGGCCTGTCTCCTGCGCTGCCTCACCGGCGCAGGCCTCCCCGCCCCTCAGCTCCCCCGCTCACCGGCCCCGCCGCTGTAGGGGGACTCACATTCACCGCCGGCGTGTGTGCCACCAGCCGCCCCTACCTCATGGCGCCGCCGGCCTCTTCCCACCACGCTGTTGGGGACACGGACCCCCGTCCTCACCTTCGTCGGCACGGCGCCCTCCCCGGGGACGAGCTACCTCCGCCTCCCCTACTGGCACGAGGCGGCAGGTGGGGCCGCATGCCGAGGGGGAGGACGACGCCGGAGGGGACGACGATGAGGAGGACATTGCGAAGACGACCCACGCGACGATGGCGATAGTGTGGCTCGCAGTGAAGGCCGACCCCGCGACTAAGACACTCTTCTTCCACTCCCTCGGCTGGAGCGCCGGAGCCGACGACCTCCTCTCCACATTTTCCCGCTTTGGCTTCGTCCTATTCCGCTCCCGCCGCTCCGTGCTTCGCGCCCTTCGCTGCTCACATGCTGAAAAGCTCCGACCGCCGCTTCGCTTCGGCGGGAGGGGTAGCCGCCGCTCCGATCACCGCCCGCCTCGCTTTGCACCACTAGGCTCCTCCACCGTCGCCGCTGCTTCACCCGCCGCATGCCCCGCTCCGCCGGTCGGCCCCTCCACCCCATCGCTCCGCGTCCTCCGCCGCCCGCTCCGCCCTTACTCAGGCCGCCGCTTGCCCCTGCACCGCGCTTTACCCTGCAGGGGGATAGAAAGAAGAGGGAGTTTTGAGGATGACATGTAGGCCACATGGGCCCCACCATTTATTATTATTACTGTGTGTGATTGACATGTGGGTCCCACAGGTTTTATCATTTTTTGGGATTTGCCACGTAAGCACCACATTAATGCCATGTGGGACAAAGACTTAGTCAAACGATCCGTTTAGGCGCCACGTCAACAAAAAACGGGGGTCAATACTGTCGAGGAACCTCGTTTGTATGGTTTTGTAAGTTGAGGGATGTCTTGTATCCGGTTTTCCGGCCTAAGGATGAAAACCAGACTGGACGACAAATTGAGGGACCTCGAATGAACTTATTCCATCAGATCTTGTAGTAGTAGCTGTTAGGAACCCATGGGCTTCCTAAGGTGCAGCTGAACCAGACTATTGATGCAGCCCAACGTCATGTTCCAAGTAAAGCCTAAGGAAAGAATTTAAAAGCAGCAGTTGTACTAGAAGGAGAATCCAGCACGAAAGCTTGGCCTGGACGGCGAGAGCGAACAGCTGCGGCGGCAGCAATTTGGGTCCGGGCTTGGATCCTCGTCGAGTATGTACGTTTTTCTTCTTCCATCTCTCCATTTCCTATATACTAGACCTTGCCATCTCCATCTCCACCCTCCATTGTTGCACTCGATATTGACGTTTGGAAACATTGCAAATCGGGTTGTTAACAGTAGCCACTTTTCCTTTTCTTCTTTTTTTTTTGGCAGTAAACGACCACTTTGGCACTGCTGTCTCACCCCTCAAGGGTGATTGTCGGGCGAAAGCCCAGTCTTGGCTCCTTCGAGCCCCGACGGACGGCAACGGCGGCTTTTCCGTCGCTTCTCTTCTAGAAAGACGTCGTTTTGGCATCCCCTAGGGGGCAATCTCGACTGGGTCCCTTTGTTGGTCTAGTGGCGGTCGGTCACGCTTAGCGGCAGCCGGTCCGATGCTAGCTTTCTCCTGGGCTTGTGTGTTGGCGATGTCGGTGTGTGGGTGGTGGTATATTTTTCCTTTTTCCTGATTACGACCCTCCAGGGTTGTAATCTTGTAATTTTTTTCTGCTCTATCTATAGAACTTCGCACCGTCTCGTGCGAGTCGTTCCAAAAAAAAACACTTTGGCACTGCACAAGTGTAAAACCCCAATTAAGGGCTTGTTCGCTTCGTTCAAGAAATATATATTTACTAAACTTTGGTAACGCTATATTTTGGCATTATTAAATTTTAGATAGTGTTAATTTGAAGCCTTATCAAACTTTAGTATAAGAAGTTTTTAGTTCGGAAATTACAACACGCCATAAATAAATAAATAAATAGGCTCAAATATTTGAACTCCTTGCTAAATTCAAAATAATAGAGATGTAGCTTTCTTTTGTCCTGCAAATTGCCAAACTTATGTGGTGTGCTACCATATTTTGTGCTTCAAGAGCATATGTTCATTGTTACGTGGAATGACTTTGCTAAAATGGTATTTACATGTATAACTTTTTTATGCTGTTTTGTTCGATTATTTCAATCAACTTTGGTGTATTGGACCGGCGGACCTTCCCTTGTGGTAAGGTGTGGCAGCTGCAACACCTATCTGCCAACAGTAACTATCAACTAAACAACAAAACTACTGACTGTTTCATTGGTGGTTACCGTAATGATGGGGGCAATAAGCACTAATCTTTTAGTATTAGTACTAGTACAAGCTAATACTGGTATGGTTGAACAAGTTATCATGCATTGTCCAAGTGATGATGCAACTGCGTCGGCTAGAATTGTTCTTTAAGGAATTGAGAAAACGTATAATTACTATTTTTTCAACGCTAACCACAAATATTTGGAGGAGGGTAATTTGGAATGGGAACATTTGGATGGCTCTAGGGGCTCACCTTCCAGGAATCAATCTTCACCTATATTGAAAACAGTAAATTATTTGCTTATAGTTTTATTGGATATGCACAATAATTTTTTTATCATATACATTATATACTAATGTTTTGGTATATGTTCGTGTTTTTTTTTATAAAATAATGTCTCGGTTCGAAGTACATTTAGAAAGTCCGCCATACCTAAAATTTTATACTGGGTCCGCCACTGGTATTGGTTAGTCTTGACAGTACCCCCTCCTCTCCCCCACCACCACCCATACTTAATTTTGGGTTCCGTTATTGTGTTGAGTTTATTTGGTACAGCTCAAAGTTCTAAATTTTAAGAGTCATAGCAATCTAAACACCGCTCTATCACTTTAGTTTATTTTATAAGGACACTTTAATCAACTTCACGGGCATAAAGTGAAAGCTGTTTAGTTTTACTCTAGCTTAAAAAAAACAAGCTAGTCAGAGCTGAACCTCTCGACCAAAAAATACCCTTAATTCTACAGTATTTCCAACCGTCTACTACACTGCTCAGCGACCATGGTCATTGCTCTTTAGAGCGAGTTTAATAGTATAGCCAACTAATAGCTTCAATTCATTTATAGCCAATTTAATAGCTCATCTATATAATAGTTACATACTAGACCCACCTATCATATACATACTGCGTCTTAAAGTCCGTGCTATAGCTGGCTACAAATCTGTAACCCGCTGCTCTTCTCTCTCCTTATTTATTTTTTTAAAATATGTTTACAGCTGGCTTATATAGCCTGCTATTCTACCTGCTCTTTACATGAAACATGCCTGCATGACCATCGGCTTCATCAACCGACCATGGATTGTGCAGTCGTCCTGGGCACGACCGACAACACCCACGTGGCTCCCGTACGTCTGCAGCTCGCCCCTATTGATCCGAACCTCCAGTTGATAAGTCTACTTTATTTAATTAGAGTATTTTTCACGATTCGCTTTGGCTTCGCTAAGCTGGAGGATTTGATCTGCTTTGATTTGTCATTGAGCTGGGAGGTGTAATAAACAAAAAAGTGGCCGTTGCAGGCAAGGCATGCATGAGATTATGACAAGTAATTAACGTCACAGTTTAGTGCATCTCATCTGTGCGGCCTAATAGCTCGTGCCTGCCAGTAATCCACCTATACCCCACAATGTCTTCGATCTCAATAATTAAGACCGCCCTGACTGTCAATAGTAAACAATTCATCCTCATCGTCGACTCCTCATCACTCCCTAAAAGCTCACCCAGCTCATGAAATACTTCCTCCATCCTATAATATAAGAGAGATTTTAGTGCAATTTAACATATTCTAGTACTATGAATCTGGATAT